TTTTCTAAAAGCAGAAGAACAGTAAGCACAACAAAGAATTAGTTACTATTTTTCTCATGATCTAAAATACTCCAAAGTCTTTTTTTTTTTTTTTGACAGACATCATCCAACTGTTATCCAGAGACCAAACTATGTTATCAAGAGATGACACTGCAGAGACACCACACTAGTTTCTAGCAGACATCTGAGTCCCCATCCAACTACCACAGAGTGAGAGAAAGGTAGATCAGGCTCCATCTTTCTATTTGCATGGAATTCAAGCTCTTGAGCTACAAAGATTTTTGGCCATCTCCCTGAAGGGGAAGGCTCCCAGGGCTGCTTGTCACTCTCTGGTCCTTCTTTTTAGCTCAGGAGCTGGCAGTCTTATTGTGCCCCCCATGGCACACTGAGCTGTATATTTGGGTCAGTTATGTATCAATTTCCTTCTCTTCCTACCTCCTGTCTAGCAAAAAAAAAAAAAAAAAATTGAAGTAGCATAAAGGCAAAATTGATCATGTCATGGCTTTTCTAGAGTATTACGTTCATCACCAGGACAGATGAAAATGGTTCTTATGTAAACTGAATAAAAATCAACTCAAGTGACTCAGAGAAACCAGTAGATCCCATAAAACTGGAAATTAACTGAATTTTAATTTTATTTGGAAGCTCAGAAATGTTGCTCTATTATTTTGATATTTTTTTAATTGGGACAAAAATAGTCTAAGCTCATATTTGGCCCTATGGTGTTTCTTTAAAGATTAAAAAGGAATAAGATAATAAAGAATGTAAATTTTCAGACAGCTTCTCACAGGGACATGCTGCTTGAATTAACAGTTCTCTCTCCCCCTGTGCTGTATCTGGATTGCTTTTAATTATTAGCAAAGAAAATAACAGGTTCAGTAGATGTGGATGCAAGTTCATTTTCATCATCAGTTGACTTCTGCAACTTTCACACCAATGCCGGTTTTGAGAACATTGAGAAATTTACCATAACGTTGATCAAGACTGTAAGAGGTCGCAATTCTGAATATTAATTAGAAAATAGTGATAGTATGGATGGTGCTTTTGAATCATGATCATGAGAACTGTCATAAAACACTACCTTAAAAACTAACGTTCCATACCCAGCTTTCACACACACATTCCAGTGGCCTTAGACAAGTACACATGATTTACAACCACTCCTCAGACAAAGATTTCTTTTCCCCTATTCCGAAAGGCTACAATAGAACCTCAGTTTGAACATAATGCAGAGCAACTTCCCGTCAAGGCATAAAGTCCCTGTCACGTGCACAGAGAGATGGGAGAAGCTGCAAATGGAGCTTGGTTACTCTGCCACTGCCTGACCTGCTCCAGTGGTAGGGGTTGTTGTGTACAGGGTTGCCTTTAGAGCAGGAGAGAAGGTAGTAAGCAACATGTCAATATCCATCTGAGGCTTAGACCTGAAGGGTCATTTCCACCTTTTCTGCTACATGAGATAAAAAACTGTTACATACCTTACTATTCAGCATACTACGGTCAATCAAGAGAGAACAGCAAAGAGAGGGACATAAACAGACAGATGTGTACCTGCAGTCAATCTACTTACTTTGGATTTCCAGCCCCTGGCTTCTTTCTCCGGAATATGTTGAGGAAAGTGTTGGACTTGCAAGGTGCCTTGCCATCCCCGACATGCATACGCACCACATCTGAGGTGGTGAAGGCACTGCGGACATTCCTCTCGGGCTTGGCTATAATGATGTACATCTTAGGAGTGAACATGCACCCCAGT